CAGAGAATCTTTACTGCACGTATAAGTTCTGTCAAGCACCTTAACTACTGGGAACGCTTGGAAGCACTTGACTTGTACTCGTTGGAACACAGGAGAGAGATATATATCATAATCTACACTTGGAAAATCCTGGAAGGAATAGTCCCGAATCTGCACACAGAAATCACTCCCTACGAAAGTAAAAGACTGGACAGGCGATGCAAAATACCCCCAATTAAAAGTAAGGGCGCCATTGGTACACTAAGAGAAAACACCATAAGTGTCCGGGGCCCAAGACTGTTCAACAGCCTCCCACCAAGCATTAGGGGAATTACCAATAAACCCCTGGCTGCCTTCAACAGAGAGCTGGACAGATACCTAAATTAAGTGTCGGATCAGCCGGGCTGTTGTTCGTACGTTGGACTGCGTGCGGCCAGCAGTAACAGCCTGGTTGATCAGGCCCTTATCCACCGGGAGGCCTGGTCGTGGACCGGGCCGCGAGGGCGTTGATCCCCGGAATAACCTCCATGTAGACTCCAGGTAGGTCAAGCTTGGACTAAAGAGCACACCTCCAGTCTTGTCCACTGGTCAAGTTTGAACTAGCACACCTCCAGTATTGTCCACTGGTCAAGCTTGAACTAGCACACCTCCAGTCTTGTCCACTGGTCAAGCATGAACTAGCACACCTCCAGTCTTGTCCACTGGTCAAGCTTGAACTAGCACACCTCCTGTCTTGTCCACTGGTCAAGCTTGAACTAGCACACCTCCAGTCTTGTCCACTGGTCAAGCTTGAACTAGCACACCTCCAGTCTTGTCCACTGGTCAAGCTTGAACTAGCACACCTCCAGTCTTGTCCACTGGTCAAGCTTGAACTAGCACACCTCTAGTCTTGTCCACTTGTCAAGCATGAACTAGCACACCTCCAGTCTTGTCCACTGGTCAAGCATGAACTAGCACACCTCCAGTCTTGTCCACTGGTCAAGCATGAACTAGCACACCTCCAGTCTTGTCCACTGGTCAAGCTTGAACTAGCACACCTCCAGTCTTGTCCACTGGTCAAGCATGAACTAGCACACCTCCAGTCTTGTCCACTGGTCAAGTTTGAACTAGCACACCTCCAGTCTTGTCCACTGGTCAAGCATGAACTAGCACACCTCCAGTCTTGTCCACTGGTCAAGCATGAACTAGCACACCTCCAGTCTTGTCCACTGGTCAAGCATGAACTAGCACACCTCCAGTCTTGTCCACTGGTCAAGCTTGAACTAGCACACCTCCAGTCTTGTCCACTGGTCAAGCATGAACTAGCACACCTCCAGTCTTGTCCACTGGTCAAGCTTGAACTAGCACCCCTCCAGTCTTGTCCACTGGTCAAGCTTGAACTAGCACACCTCCAGTCTTGTCCACTGGTCAAGCACGAACTAGCACACCTCCAGTCTTGTCCACTGGTCAAGCTTGAACTAGCACACCTCCAGTCTTGTCCACTGGTCAAGCATGAACTAGCACACCTCCAGTCTTGTCCACTGGTCAAGCATGAACTAGCACACCTCCAGTCTTGTCCACTGGTCAAGCATGAACTAGCACACCTCCAGTCTTGTCCACTGGTCAAGCATGAACTAGCACACCTCCAGTCTTGTCCACTGGTCAAGCATGAACTAGCACACCTCCAGTCTTGTCCACTGGTCAAGCATGAACTAGCACACCTCCAGTCTTGTCCACTGGTCAAGCATGAACTAGCACACCTCCAGTCTTGTCCACTGGTCAAGCATGAACTAGCACACCTCCAGTCTTGTCCACTGGTCAAGCATGAACTAGCACACCTCCAGTCTTGTCCACTGGTCAAGCATGAACTAGCACACCTCCAGTTTTGTCCACTGGTCAAGCATGAACTAGCACACCTCCATTCTTGTCCACTGGTCAAGCATGAACTAGCACACCTCCAGTCTTGTCCACTGGTCAAGCATGAACTAGCACACCTTCAGTCTTGTCCACTGGTCAAGCATGAACTAGCACACCTTCAGTCTTGTCCACTGGTCAAGCATGAACTAGCACACCTTCAGTCTTGTCCACTGGTCAAGCATGAACTAGCACACCTCCAGTCTTGTCCACTGGTCAAGCATGAACTAGCACACCTCCAGTCTTGTCCACTGGTCAAGCTTGAACTAGCACACCTTCAGTCTTGTCCACTGGTCAAGCATGAACTAGCACACCTCCAGTCTTGTCCACTGGTCAAGCTTGAACTAGCACACCTTCAGTCTTGTCCACTGATCAAGCATGAACTAGCACACCTTCAGTCTTGTCCACTGGTCAAGCATGAACTAGCACACCTCCAGTCTTGTCCACTGGTCAAGCATGAACTAGCACACCTCCAGTCTTGTCCACTGGTCAAGCTTGAACTAGCACACCTTCCATCTTGTCCACTGGTCAAGCATGAACTAGCACACCTCCAGTCTTGTCCACTGGTCAAGCATGAACTAGCACACCTCCAGTCTTGTCCACTGGTCAAGCATGAACTAGCACACCTCCAGTCTTGTCCACTGGTCAAGCTTGAACTAGCACACCTCCAGTCTTGTCCACTGGTCAAGCATGAAACTAGCACACCTCCAGTCTTGTCCACTGGTCAAGCATGAACTAGCACACCTCCAGTCTTGTCCACTGGTCAAGCTTGAACTAGCACACCTTCCATCTTGTCCACTGGTCAAGCATGAACTAGCACACCTCCAGTCTTGTCCACTGGTCAAGCATGAACTAGCACACCTCCAGTCTTGTCCACTGGTCAAGCATGAACTAGCACACCTCCAGTCTTGTCCACTGGTCAAGCATGAACTAGCACACCTCCAGTCTTGTCCACTGATCAAGCATGAACTAGCACACCTCCAGTCTTGTCCACTGGTCAAGCATGAACTAGCACACCTCCAGTCTTGTCCACTGGTCAAGCTTGAACTAGCACACCTTCCATCTTGTCCACTGGTCAAGCATGAACTAGCACACCTCCAGTCTTGTCCACTGGTCAAGCATGAACTAGCACACCTCCAGTCTTGTCCACTGGTCAAGCATGAACTAGCACACCTCCAGTCTTGTCCACTGGTCAAGCATGAACTAGCACACCTCCGGTCTTGTCCACTGGTCAAGCATGAACTAGCACACCTCCAGTCTTACAAAGAAATAGGACGTAAGTGCGCCTTTATCACAGTATTAAGTTATATAATATTTCCATCAGAATACCACTCCTATAAGCATGCATATTACATTACATAATCATACATACTGCACATTTCCCACGGTTTTAACCTCACATGTAGATATTTTCTGCCCTGGAAAAATTGTACTGTGATTCTGATATATATAAAATAGAGCTTTAAAAAGATTGGATTACAAGCATCAATAGGAATTTGCACACACACACACACACATACACACACACACACACACACACACATACACACACACACACACACACACACACACACACACACACACACACACACACACACACTGATGACAGAAGCGCCACCTAACAGTGGTATCAGGCAGCAGAAACTGGGACATGGGTAAACAAAGCAGGTTGTGTATAAGACACACACCTTCCTCACGTGAGTCACGACCCTCACCATGCTTCATACACTGTTTATCATTCTTATGCTCGCTTACACAACACTGCATTAGTCTGCAGCAAATCAGTCACGACCTAGCAGTAGTATATCTTCCTCAACTGCAGATGTGTGTTGCAACTAAAGAGTGTAGAGGTAAAAAGTACGAAGAGGGAAGTAAGAAGTGTATCGGTAAAACACGGGAAGTAAGAAGTGTGTCAGTAAAACAGGGGAAGTAAGAAGTGTATCGGTAAAACACGGGAAGAAGTGTATCGGTAAAACACGGGAAGTAAGAAGTGTGTCAGTAAAACACGGGAAGTAAGAAGTGTATCGGTAAAACACGGGAAGAAGTGTATCGGTAAAACACGGGAAGTAAGAAGTGTATCAGTAAAACACGGGAAGTAAGAAGTGTATCAATAAAACACGGGAAGTAAGAAGTGTATCAATAAAACACGGGAAGTAAGAAGTGTATCAGTAAAACACGGGAAGTAAGAAGTGTATCAATAAAACACGGGAAGTAAGAAGTGTATCAGTAAAACACGGGAAGTAAGAAGAGTATCAATAAAACACGGGAAGTAAGAAGTGTATCAATAAAACACGGGAAGTAAGAAGTGTATCAGTAAAACACGAAGTAAGAAGTTTATCAATAAAACACGGGAAGTAAGAAGTGTATCAATAAAACACGGGAAGTAAGAAGTGTATCAGTAAAACACGGGAAGTAAGAAGTGTATCAATAAAACACGGGAAGTAAGAAGTGTATCAGTAAAACACGGGAAGTAAGAAGTGTATCAGTAAAACACGGGAAGTAAGAAGTGTATCAGTAAAACACGGGAAGTAAGAAGTGTATCAGTAAAACACGGGAAGTAAGAAGTGTATCAGTAAAACACGGGAAGTAAGAAGTGTATCAGTAAAACACGGGAACTGACAAACTTTCAGGAAAGAGCGGGAACCAACAAATATAGAGGAAAGAATAAAAAAAAGAAAATACCATTAAAATGGAGCGAAATTTTTTTGGATATGGTTGAAAAGAGTGGGAAGTGACACAGCCAGAGCAGAAGAAAACAAGTTTATAAACTGGAAAACCTAGTCATCATTAAGCCTGGCCGGAAAGCGTGGTAACTTACTGACTATTGAACATGACTGAAAAGTATTGAAACCCTCATTATTATTATTATTATTAGTAGTAGTAGTAGTAGTAGTAGTAGTAGTAGCAGTAGTAGTAGTAGTAGTAGTAGTAGTAGTAGTAGTAGTAGTAGTAGTAGTAGTAGTAGTAGTAGTAAAACATTTAAACCCTTATATATGACTGTAAAGGCAGAATAAATGGACTGAGTGATTGATCATTTGCTAAATTTTCAATTCCAAATTGCATTCTAGTAAATCTAGGGTCGGAAAGTAGCCGTTATTAAGATAAAAAAAAAAGGAAGGACAGAGTACCGGGTGATGGCTAGTCTGCAGCGGTGATCTGTGAAGCTGTTGCTGCTGCTGCTGTTGTTGCTTGCTGCCGTGGGCTGCCTGGTGTACGGGCAGGTGTGGCATAGGTGACCGGCACTGTGACCACAACAACACTGTGGTGAGCAACACACCCACACTGCCACCCACCAGCACCCCTCGCACTGTCACCCGCATCTTCACACCTATATTCTCACACTCGTCACTCACTTAATGTGGTAATAGTGAGATTTAAGCGTTGGGTGAGGGCTGAGAGCAGCAACTGTGGGTGGGCGGAAGTGTTCGCACATGCCCACGGTTTGGTTTTGTGGGTGTGGTGGTGGTGGTTCCTGGTGGTGGGGCGTGGGTCTTGAGTCTCGGCTGGCGATGTGATGGTGGGCAGCTCAGCAATAATCCCTTTAACAATCTGAAACAAGAAAAACAGAATTTGTAATCCCGGGCAACTGAATCCGATACAACCTTTCTGAAACACAAACTTGAATTGTTTACATGAAATGGACAATGTCACAAAATAAAACTCCTACATCCACCGGAAAATTATTCAGTACTGCCAGAGTCAAAACTAGCGCACATCAAGCCTTCCTTGTTTTTTTGTATTACGTATCCCCGATCGGCATCAAATTTTCAACACTGGAGTATTGTAACTGTGGAAGAGATTCGTCTAACTATTGCCATGTGTAGGCGCCCTTTGCTCAATTTCATACAGACCTTGAAAAAGCCTCTTCTGATCGGCTTTAAACTTTCGGCACTGGTGTATCCTACTTAGAAAAAAAAGCTAGTATTGTTATTTTAGAATTTAGATGATATATACCAATTTAATTCTTAAAATGGTGTATTATTATTTTCGGTGAAAAACTTGAGTATCTCCCGAACGACTGTAATTTTCATATTGCTGATACATCTTATGGACAGGATGATATACACTGTGTTAGGTTAATGGACATAGATGCAACTAATGTGGCATTTTATTGTAGCAACGTTTCGCTCTCCAGGAGATCTGTCAAGCCGTTACATTTACCTAACATTTTCTGGGTAATTATACCATGAGACACATTAAGCATAGGTTTAGCAGATGCAAATTTTCACATTTCTAATGTAATTAATAAACTTGGAATTATTTAATTCTGATCAATAACTGGTAAATGCCTTTGTGTAATTTGTCAATTTTACTAAAACTGATTTTCGTGCCAAATTGCTAACATTACTGAAGAATTTGTGAAAATTTAAATATCGATGTTCATGCGATAATTTGCGAATGTCTTATATGATCACCTTGAAACTTCCAACGATGATGTATCTTTCTTACTTTGATTGTTACTGAACTATGTAGGTGATAATTTGGAAAAACATTTCTTTAACTCCTCAAGCTGTCCGTTTCTGGTAACTCATAACAGTATGCAAATTCCGGTTAAAAAACAAAGGACAGGAATCGAATATTTTTCTGGAAACTCGGTGTCAGTAAAACCAGTTGACAGTTAAGAGAGGTCAGCAGCTATAAACTTATCATGTAGGCGAGTACGTGAATGCACGCACGCACACCAGGGGGCCAGGAACTGTGACTCGATCCCTGCAACCACATATAGTTGAATACACACACACACACACACACACACACACACACACACACACACACACACACACACACACACCTCAACATTCAGGAAGATAATCTTTCAGGATTGTATACAGGGAGTGTGTTAGGCCAATCATCGAGTATGCGGCGTCAGCTTGGAGCCTTCCCCATCCCTCGCCTCCCTAACCTGATCAAGCAAGCGCAGATACTTGAAAGCTCATCAAGGGTTACAATCAGACTGAACCCAGAATTAAGAGGAAAGCACTACGAAGAGAAACATGCCTGTGATCTGTTTCAAGAGTTCTCTACCCTCTTGAAAATAATTACTCTTATTCCTGTAATATTTTTTTTCCTCCAAAAATTACGATTTTTATGATTGTTTCATTCTAAATACAATACACTGCAACTTCTCTGAGGATTCCATTGAAGTGCGGGGAGTGATAGTGGCTCAGTCGCCAGTGTGCTGTCAACATGAGTTGAGTGGTGCAACAAGTTGAGATTTGGAGCGCCATGACCATAGTTTTTTACAGAAAACAATATACGTATGTATAACTCAGGAATAAATTGACATTATTTTCTTTCTTCGAAAAATATTATTAGGAGTGTCATGATTTTAGCACACGTTACTGAGTAATTATGGCTCTACTACCATGTACAGGGGATTTGCGATATTTTTTACCGCTGTGTTTTTATTGATTTTTTTTTCCCAAATAAGTCCTTAAAAATAATAAACTTCAACAGTTTTTATTATGCAATCTATTGACATTTTCGCTCAAACGGCGTTAGTACAAATATTATCTAGCCGTTTATCTTTCATCTGATGTCAACTACAACATTGTACATCTTACCAATTTTGTAGATAAGGGGGAGTTTTATGCCCTATAGAATTCTGCACTATTTATTTTTTTCTGTCTAACTTTTAAGGCAAAAAATCACTACTAACACAGTGTGTAGGTTTCAAATGCTGCTTAAATCACTGTAAAAATATTGAAATTGGACAAAAGAAAAGACAAAAAAAATTAGTTCGTGCCCTTCTCTAGACGCCTATTAACGACACGCATGGACTTTTGCTTTTAACTGGGTTTATTCTACACTTTAAGACTGTAATAGACAGTCTAAAATATGAGCACTATGAACAAAGGGAGCCAGGTGGAGGCAATAAAGATAATGTATGTGTATGCAAGGAAGTCTCTAGTCTCAGTGGTTGAAAAGTAATATTTGTTTGGTGAGGAAAATTTTATATATAGTTTCACTAGTATGATACTGTTTAAGAGTAGTACACACACGCTCTGCTGCAGGTACACTTGCACAACTCGACTACGCACCACTAGTGTGGAGCCCGCACCCAATAAAACACAAAACGAAGTTGGAAACAGCTGAGTTTTGTGCCTCCAGACTGATGCCAGAGCTGTGGAACAAGAGCTAGATGGAAAGAGCATAAATCCACAGCTATAATCATGGCATACAAAATACTCCTTAACACAGGGTAGACAGTAGCCTCCTGTAGTAGGGATCCTCCCCCCTTACTACTCTACATTACCCTCCTCCCATCTCTCTATCTCTCTCAAGAAAGGGAGAGCCAACAGGTAAGGTCCAGAATTCACACAAGAGAAAGAGTCCCTGAGTAAATGTTGGCACTCCCAAAATAGCAAATCCTATTACAGCCTCGCACCCTTCTTGGCACAAGAGAAAGCCTGAAGCCGGTGTGCTGCCAGACACGGGGATCCACGTTTCATCTGCCACATTGCCACCTACCGTACGTCACCTCGGATAAATACGTCCAATGGTTGCCACGTATGTCACCCATCTCATCTATCATGCGGTGTAATCTATAACAAACTCAGACACTAGTCTACACGACAGCCACCATGCTGTGATATCCAGGTGAGGAGGGAAGACACGGGTATGGGGGAGAGACGCGGGGTAAGACATGGTAAGGGGAAGAGACGTGGGGGTCAGCAGCTGTGCAAGCTAAGAGATATCTGCGGGCCAGGATGAGGCTCTCTGGCTGCAATGTTACCAACATCTGTGTCTGTCTGCCAGTCTTCATCTTTGTTTCCCACCTTTTTTTTTTACTTTTACCTTTCTCTAAATCTTTCACTTCGTTGGCTCTTTCCTCTTTCTTACTTTAACCCACCTTATCCAAAACCATCCACATCCCCACATATATAATTCTTCCCCCCCCCCCCACACACACACCCTGAATCCGCAACTGATCAGTTATGTAAAGAAACTAGAGGCGGAAATGTTCGAAACGAGGTTGGTAACAGAAATGAGAGACTGAACGACAGAGGAAAACTTCCGGAACTCAACAACCTCAAAGATGTGATGACAGCATCACGACGTACAAAATACTTAAGGAACTTTGAATGTTTTATAACTGTAGCTTATCTACTAGTTTAACTTGTGGCTGAGCTAGCGAGTGCTCTCAAATGGCAGTTTGCTCTGTTTCTCTTACTGCTACAAGTTATCCATGTGTGGCTGTGTCGAAGGGTAGATAATGTCAATTTCTGTGAACCATCAGAGACGTGAAAATATGGGTCTTCGGGAGAATCACCGTAAACACTTCCAGTGGCTGTTTCCCGTGCTCCTGCTGGCGAGTTCCAAGGTAAACATGCACTGAAGAAGCTACCAAGAGTAGTAACACTACAGACGGTGATCGCGGCTCTTGGCTGTGTAAGGAATAACTCGACACAGGCCAAGGGCCGGGCTGCGGGAATAAGAAAACTCTCGAAGCCCTTCAAAGGTAAGGTATAAAGGTTGATGGTGTACATTTCACATACTCCTGCTGTCTGTCAACCACTATCACATAAGTAAATTATACAATTTCTTAGGTTACGTCAATTAAGTTATTTTATATTTCCATATTTCGTAAGTTTTGGCAAGGTTTGGCTAGGTTGCTAGCTTATATTTCAGACAAAATAAAAAAAAATTCTCACAAAAAACTGCGTAACTCTGTTTTTTTCAGGATTGAAGGAGCACATCTCAGTTCAGGTCTTTCATTTAAGTTCACCAAAAAGATACAAAATACAATTTCATTCTAATTTCTGAATACACCCTGAACTACACTGAACAAATCTTCATTATATGGAATTATACTAAATTCCAATATTTTACAACTTAACCGTATTTGATAAGCAAATTTTAATTTGACCTGGTTTCAATATTATAAATTTCAGCTAAGTTTATTATTAACCCTATCATGTCTTCGCCACATATTTGCTGTCATCCGGCAGCTCACATCCACCAAATTTTCACAACAATAAAATACTTATTACATGCAATATTTACCTAACATGTCAGGGAGTCACAAATCATTCCTAGACGCACACAAAAATTCGTGATTTTTTTTCGATAGCAACATAATGAATAGTAAATAAACACCAAAACTGAGCGTGTCCCAGAGGACTGTTGGGGCAGTTTTAATTGTGAAAATTAGCCAGTAATAAGCAGGCTTGACTCGCCCAAATTTATTTAGGCCTAAAGCTCCTTAATAGTCATACTAAATCCTAGTTAATTGTTTTGATTGTTTTCACAGATACCTGCTGGAACTCGCTGCCACCAAACTTAAATAATAATAATCACTCACACACATACACACACGCACACGTATACGTGCGTTCTGCAAATTAAAAATGCATGGGTGGATTCTCAATTTATCATCTTTAGACCAATATGGAAAAAAAATATAAATTTATACGTATGGAAAATACTTAACGTAACAGTTTTAAAAGCCAACAATAAAATAGATATAACTGAGACATAACCACGAAAAAATTTAAAATACCAATGGCAACACACAAAGAATGAATCAAATTGTCAAAGAAAGCAAG